GGGTGGGAGGGTAGGGTAGGGAACACTGTTAGATAGGTAGAGATAAGTATTGATTTGGGTGAAGAGAAGGGCAATGTACCAAATGTGAGTGATCAACATGGTAGCATTGAGGAAGAGGAAGACACAGAGAGATGCTTGGGAGGTACAGACAGCAAAGATGAACCCTTTTGGACATATAGAACTGTGTTGTCAGTGAAGGCAGACATTGATATATGGGTGGATAGGCAGGCTGAACTATTAGGTATGCCTATGCAGGGGCGCTCTGGTGGCACAGTGCCTAAGGGATTTGACTGCTAACCAGAAGGTTGACAGTTCAAACCCACCGGCCACTCCTCAGAAGGAAGGTTGGGCAATGTAGTAATACTGCCTCAGAAACCAAAAGAAAGGTCACTATGAGTCAGATCCAGCTCAACAGCAGTGAGTTTGGTCTTGGTTTGGATGCAGGGGGGGAGTGTGCCCATGATCATATATAGGGTTGGAAGACAGTGTTTCTACAAGTGTATTTGTATGTTCTATAAGAATTCCCAGGTATATATAATAGAGCTGACAAGGGCCAAGTTTGTGGTCATTTCTTGGCCACAACCAGCTACTTAGAGGGAGCAAATAGTTGGACCTGTGGGCTTGGGACTATGGTCGAAGGGGACATCAAGCTCAGTTGGAATAACATACTACACAAAAACGTTGTTCCACATCCTACTTTGGCGAGTAGCAACTGGGATCTTAAAAGCTTACAAGCGGCCATCTGGATGCAACAATAGATCTCTCCTCATCCAGAACAAAGAAGAATGAAGAAAACCAAAGATGCATGGAAACAATTAGTCCAAGCGATTGGTACACCATGCAGTTCTCAGCCTGTACGACTGTGAGACCAGAAGAACTAGATGGTGGTAGGCTACCACTGTCAACCACTCAGAGGAGGATCTGTGTAGGAGATCCTGAATAGAATGGGAGAACAATGTGGAATAAAACTCAAAATCATTAAAAAGAAAAAAAAAAAGGGACGAGGTTTGCTGGTCTGATAGATCCTGGTGGAACCTCTGAGACTATGGCTCCTAGTTGCCCTTCAGGTCTGGAATTGAACCCACTCTTGCTGGCTTCCAGTCAGACAAAAGACAGGCATATGAGCTGAACATTTACTTTAAGTAGATATACTCTTTGGAGAGATCAATCATGGGAGAATAGAAGGGCTGTGTATGCACAGGGAGACAACTTGGAGCAGGAGTGCATGGGAGGGAAGGACGGGGAAGAGGTAACTATGGGGAGAAAGTGGGAGGGGAGCTGTTGCATTGTGGGAAATTGCAGTCAATGTCATGAGACAAAGTGTATATGAGCTGCTATAGGGAAAGTGAATTTGCTCTGTAAACTTTTACCCAAATCACAATAAAAAGAAAAAAAAATAAAGTGATCCAACATAATGCAAAAATTATTGAACAATGTTAATGTCACACACATATAAAATTTTCCTGAAAAGAATTCAAAACCATTTGCAGTATATTGACAGGAATTGCTAGAAATTCAAGCCAAATTCAGAAGAGGGAGTACAATGAGGAATATCATTGCTAATGTCAGATGAATATTGGTTGAAAGCAAAGAATACCTGTGTTTTATTGACTATGCAAAGGCATTAGACTGGGTGGATCATAACAAATTATGGATAACATTGCATAGAATGGGAATCCCAGAACACTTAATTGTGCTCATGAAGAATCTGTGCATAGACCAGGAGGCTGTTCAAAAAGAACAAGGGGATACAGCAGGTTTACAAACAGGAGAGGTGTGCATCAGGATTGTACCCTTTCATTGTACTTACACAGTTTGTATGCTGAGCAAATAATCCGGGAATCTGGACTTTATGAAGAGAAAGGTGGGATCAGGATTGGAGCAAGACTTATTAATAAACTGTAATACACAGATGACATAACGTTACTTGCTGAAAGTGAAGAAGACCTGAAGCACTTACTCAAAGACTACAACTCAAAGAAGCTCAAAGACTATAACTGTCAGTATGGATCACACCTCAAAGAGGTGTGAAAACAAAAATCCTCACAACTGGGCTAATAAGTAACATCACAATAAATGGAGGAAAGATTGAGGTTTCAGGATCTATAATTAACACCCATGGAAGCAGCAGTCAAGAAATCAGACGATGTATTGGGCAAATCTTCTGCAACAGACCTCTTTAAAGTGTTAGAGAATAAAGATGTCTCCTTGAAAATTAAGGTGTGCTTAATTTTGGCCCAAGCCATGGTGCTTTCAGTGAGTGGTCTCATATGCATATGAAAGATGGACAGTGTATGAGGAAGACGCAGAAGAATTGATGCATTTAAATTGTGTTGGTGAAGAATATTGCAAATACCATGGAACGCCAAAAGAACAGATTTGTTTTGGAAGAAGAATAGATTATTGCTCCTTAGAAGTGAGAATGGCCAGACTTTGTCTCACATACCTTGGCCATGTTGTCAGAAGGGACTCATCCCTGGAGAAGGATATCATGTTTGGTAAAGTACAGGGTCAGCAAAAAAGGGGAAGACCTTCAAGAAAATGGTTTCAACACAGAGGCTGTAGTGTTGGGCTTAAGCATAGCAAGGATTGTTAGGATGGTGCAGGACTGGGCCGTGTTTCCTTGTGTTTGAACATAGGGTCGCTGTGAGTTGAAATTGACTTGAGGGCAGCTAACAACAACAATTAAAGATCTAGAGCATCTTTTCATGTGCTTATTGGTCATTTGTATACGACCTTTGGTGAAATGTGTATCTAAGTCTTTTGCGCAGTTTTTGATAAATTTGTCTTCTTTTTGTTGTTGAATTTGAGGAATTATTATTATATTCTAAATATTAGACCCTTATCACATAGATGATTCCCGAAGATTTCTCTCATTTTTAGATTGTTTCTTCCCATTGTGGATAAAATTCTTTTCTAATCAAAAATTTTAAATTTTGGTTAAGTCCAGTTTATAAATATTTTGTCTTTGTTGTTTATGCTTTTGTGTGCATATTAAGAATTGATTGTGGAAAGCTGCATCCCAGAACATTGCTCTTTTGTTTTAAGTTTTATGGTGTTAGTTCTTACATTTAGATCTCAGATCCATTTGAAGACAATGGATCTCAAATATGGTATGACGTATGGGTCCATCTTCATTCTTTTGAATGTGGAGATCCAATTGTCCCAGCAATATTTATTGAAGAGACTATTATCAACCTATTAAAAGGACTTAGAGCACTTACTGTAATAATCTGACCATAGATATATGGACACCTTCATTTCTGAAAGATATTTTAGGTTGATATAGAATTTTTAGGAGCTCTGGTAGCATAGTGGCTAAAGCACTTGACTGCTAACCAGAGGGCTGGCGGTTCAAACCCACCGGCCACTCCTCGGAAGGAAGGTTGGGCAATCCTACTTCCGTAGTGATACTGCCTCGGAAACCCAGGGAGGGGTCGCTATGAGTCGGGGCCGATTCGGCACATAACAACAACAACAACATAGAATTTTTGATTGATGGTATTTTTTATTTCGTTATTTTAAAGAAGTCATCTCATTGCATTCTGGTTTGAATAGTTTCTTATGAAACTCTGCTACCATTCTTACCATTGTTTCTTTGTATATAATTTTTTTTTTTCCCCTGCTGCTTTCAAAATTGTTTCTTTCATTTTGGTGTTGAGCAGTATATGAGTGTGTTTTCTTTGTGTGTATCCAGCTTGGAATTCTTTAAGCTTCTTGGATATGTGTTTCCTTCATTTATTTCAGAACATTCTCAAATATTTCCCTGCAAATACATAGTAAAGTCCCTATGAGACTTTGTTGACTGTTTTAGTACTTAAAATTTTTTTCCTTTGATCTTTTTATGTGTCTTTCAGATTTTTATTGCATGCTGGACATTATGTTTAAAAGAATACTAGAGGTTGAAGTTAATAGTATTTATGCCCAGAAATGAGCTTACCTCTTTTTCTTGTTGTTAGGACATTATTGTGGGCGTTTTGAACCTTATCTGGTCAGTAGTTGAGATGAGTTTTATGTTTTGTTGTTGCCAGTTATTTTCAACATGCCCTAGACTTCAAATATTTCTAGTGATGTGCACCTGCTACCTGTGCTTGGTACAGAATTTGGAGTTCTGGAGGGTTTTTATCTCAGTGTCGTTGCTCCATTCTCAGCCTTCAACAAGCCCTGTGCACCTGAGCCACAAAGGAGTTTCTGTGTGTGCTCCTGCTCTGCTCTCAACAGGAGATTGCTATTGCCTTGTCTTTAGTTAGTGGTCATACTTGACATGTGGGGGTTGGTAGGGGGTGGGTACTAGGTTCTCCTGCTGTAGCCTCATCCTTAGATAGTCCCTGTGTGTGAGTCAGGTTGCGTTTCCCTACCCTGTCTCTCCCCACCTTCCTAAGTATCCTTATACTAAGTTTTGGGGGTGGAGGGTGCTTGAACTAGGGCAAGTTTCCTACTCCTTCAAAATGCTTTGTAACTGTAAGATCCTGAAATAAAGTGGATTTTGGTCCAACCCCAATAGCAGAAGGCTGTTTTTTTCTACCTGTCCCTCAGTGGTAGTGAGAAAGAGGTTGGCAGATTCCTACCACTCATTCAGCAACAGATAGATTTTGCTTCTACCCCTCTTTCAGAATTGGCTGAGCTTTTCCTTGGGCAGAGAATATGAGAGTTTCCTTTCCAGACATTTAAAGATTGTCCTTAATATATTTATGTATCATATTTCAGTGTTGTCTGTTTAGAAGGGAAGTACCTGATGGGCAGAGGTTGAAACTTAAATTTTTAAAGAGGGATACCCATTTGGTTTTTATATAACATACCAATGTGTTTATTCTTTTCCAGCTTAGGCTTGATTTCCGACTCTTTTCACATGTTTTTCGATAGCACTGCCATTTTGGCTGGATTGGCAGCTTCTGTTATTTCCAAATGGAGAGATAATGATGCTTTCTCTTATGGGTAAGACTTTTCAAAATGTTTTTAATTGAAGTGTAAGATGTACAGAAAAATACACAAATCTTAATTAAGTGCAATGAATTTTCATAGAATGAACCCACTTGTGTAACTTGCACCCTTGAAAAGCTTTCATGCTTCCTCTACACCTTTCCAAGGGCAACCACTTTCCTGACTCCAGGTATTAGTTTTGCCTATTTTTGAGCATATAAATATAATTGAAATCTGTAATATGTACTTTGTGCATCTAAGTTTTTTTTGTTTTTGTTTTTGTTTAGTGAATAGGGGATTTTGATTTTACCAAAACTTCTTAGGTAAGATGTTACTATATAGGGGAATTTCTCAGCTTTTAGCATATTTTATTTTTTTTGAAGAAGAAGGTAAGAAAGGTTTCAGTATATGAAAATGGTCATGTTTCTCTCATTTTTTTCTTTTTGTATTTGGAGTGATACTTTGCTGTTAAGTTATTCAAAATTCACTATTTCCTAATAAGTTTTTTATATTCTTCGCCTTGTTTTTATGTAAAATACTTGTCATACTTTTGCTGAATTTGGACAATTAGATATCCGGAGAATGTTTTCTATACTGAAGTAAGGATACTGAATTATCTGGTCTTACTTCTGAGCTGAGTACCTGTAGAAGCCAAGTTTTCTTTTTGCCATATCTGATAGGAGGAAGCAATGGGTTTCTGCTCATTTGACTTGTGCTGCTTGAGTAAAACTTTTGTCTGCTCATGGACTATTTTGCCTTATAATTTTATCTGTGTGTAAGCACAGCTCAGACTAACTTTTTTTTTGTTCCCCACACCCTTTCACTTTCCTGCTCCCTTCTGTTTCCTACTTAGTTGTCAATTCTTTCCCTTCCTGAATTTTTCCCCCTTCCTTCTCCCTCTTCCCCATAATTGTTCTCCATTTTCTCTCCTCTCTCCATTTGTCTCTTTTAATTGCTTTCACTCATTTGCTCTTGTTCCTATCCTCATATTCATTCTCTTTCTCATCCTCTCCTGAACTCCTCTCCCCCTCCCTTGGTCTGTCTGTCTAGTATTTGGGCTTGTGCTCACAATCTTTCTTGATCCTCTCTCCTTCTTTCTTCTTTCTATTCTTTTCTTCTTTCCTTTCTCACTACTCAGCCTTTTCTTTCTTTTCGCTTGATCTGTCCTACCCTTCACTACTTGTCAAGTTTTCTCATTCTCCCGCTCTACCTTTTAACCTCTCCAACTCTCATTTCTTTTTCCTCTTCCTTTCCCAGTTGCTGTTCACAGATTCTCCTTCCCTGAATCTCCTTTTCCAGCGCAGTTTTGGTTGTTCTCTCCCAGATCCTGTCTCTTCTATGTACTGTCTTTTGCACTCATTATTCCCTCTCTTATTCTTCCTTCCTTACTACTTTATCTTTCTCTCCAGCTTTACTGTTCCTTATTTGTCAGTCACATACTCCCTCTTTCTTGCACATATTCTTACTCTCTTCATATATTTGTTGAGGGTTCACTATGAGTCAAATACTTTGCTATGTCTAATGATACAGAGGTGAATAAGACATTCCTGCCTTTAAGGAACTTGTGATCTGATGGGGAAACAATTATATGAAAATATCATAATAACTATACACAGTGACAAGTGGTAAAAAAAAGAGATACATGAAGTTCTGTGGTACAACTTGCTGATTTTAACTGTAACTAAATGAATATGATTATTTTTAAAATTAAAAAAAAAAACTGGAAAAGAAGATTGTCTTTTGATAGTATAGAGCAAGAGATCCTGTATATTTATAAATCCAAACAATTTGAAAGCTTAGATAAGAACATTTTTTATAGCACTATTTAAATAATCTCAAACTATAGCTATGATTATATTACAAGGGGCCCTGGTGGCACAGTGGTTAAGCACTCAACAGCGAACCAAAACGTAGGTGGGTTGAACCCACCAGCTGTTCCAGGGGAGAAAGATGTGGCAGTCTACTTTTGTAATGATTGCAGCCTTGGAAACCCTGTGAACAGTTCAGTTCTGTCCTTCAGGGTCATTAAGAGTCAGAATCAATTTGATAGCAATGGAGTCTTTTGGTACATAGCTGTTAAGGAGCTCTGGTTGCACAAATAGTTAAGCACTTAGCTCCTAACTGAAAGATTGGTGGTTCAGATCCACCCAGTGGTTCTGTAGTAGGAAAACATAGTGATCTGCTTCCATAAAGATTACAGCCAAATAAACCTTAGGAGAGTTCTCACATGGGGTTGCTATGAGTGGAAAAGTTGACTCAGCAGCACTTAACAACAACACTGTAGCTATTAAAGGAGTCTCTGGGTGGTGCAAAAGGTTAAGCACTCAACTTTCAGCCAAGAGGTTGACAGTTCAAGCCCACCTGAGGCACCTCGGAAGATGGGCCTGGTGATATGCTTCTGAAAGGTCATTTATTTGAATATGCTCTGGAGTAGTTCTACTCTGCACACATGGAGCTGTCAAAACATAGTTAAAATTTTTTTTAATGCCCACATTGCTTTTGTTGTTAGTTGCTCTCAAGCTGATTCTAAGTCATTAAAGAAAGATTATATATAAAGTTATATACTTCAGCTTTTTAGAAAGTTAGTGATTCATGTATGTTGTATATCAGAAATCTAATTGGAATATCTTATTCAGCAGTCTTTCTGGATAAACAGTAATTGACTAAAAATTCTTCATGTTTTCTTAATTCTTGGGATATCTTTTGTTTCACATGTAGAGTGTATTGCCACCTGTTATCAGATAGTTTTTAACAAAAGCTTTGAATGCCTTCAATAGCAAAGCAGGTTTTAATATTCAACTTGTTAATACAAGAAAGTATTTTTGCCACATTTTTAAAAATTCTTATACTGTTTTCTTTCTTTTCTTCTTCTTTTTTTTAAATTATTTCTTATACTGTCCTCTCATTTGCTTTTAAAAAAATCTTTTCGAGTAGGAAAAATTTAGAGAATAAAAACTTGAAACTATTAATAGTAAGAGGGAGCTCTGGTGGTGTAGTGCCTAAGGCATTTGACTGCTAACCAGGAGGCTGGTGGTTCAAACCTACCAGGCACTCCTCAGAAGGAAAGTTGGGCGATCTACTTCCATAATGATACTGCCTCAGAAACTCAAGAGGGTTCGCTATGAGTCGGAAATGACTCAACGGCACATAACAACAACAACATAGTAGTAAGTAGTGGCTAGATGTAACTACTGGTGTCAGCATACCAAAATGAAACTGAATAAGGTAAGCCTAGAGATGACTCCCAAAACAACTTTCAATTCAATGTGACTCATCACACTGAATTGAAGACTGACTCTTTAATAGAGAAAGCAATAGGATGACTCTATTTCTTTATATAAAAATCATCTTTGTGTCTTGCTACACTCCTATTTTTGAAATAGCTAAGTCAACATAAAAGTAATATACAGCTTGTAGGTAGTAGATGTATACATCCATACTTATTATATACATAGGCACATATATTTATGTATTTTTTCCCCTGATTGAAGAATCCAAACACCAGCCATACTTGATGAGGCAACAGCACACACACCACCTTCATGAATTACATGTTCTAGTTCTAAGACTCATTCTGTCCAAGTAAACATAGTCATTTGTAAATGCATGTGTGCCTGGATTTTACAGGGTTTTAATTTTAAACTTGCAACCAAGTTAGCAAATATATATTAAGCCTAATTAAATCACTTTAGTCCAACAGTTTACCAGAGTTTATGGAGCTCGTATTAAGCTGGGCTTTGGGGACAGAAAGATACTTGAAAAAACATTCCTGCCTTTGATCTTGAAATCTAGTGGAACTCAAGGGCAAAAGGCTTTCAGTCAGGTATTAACTATGGATTAGAAGCATGTGTTAAAAGAAAGTTCTTTTTATTCTTTTAATAGTACCCTGTTGATTTATTGGATAAATTCCTAAGTGTGGGTTGTGGAGAACAGGCTGCAAAGTATTTGAATTTAATGAACTTTATCTCCAGAAATAAATTATGTATATGCTTTGACAAATATATTAAGTCATTTGTGTTAGAAGGTAGAATTATACATTATTTCTGAGTGTAGCTATATATGCTATGTTGGAATGTAATTGGCAGGGCAAACTCCAACATAATTGGGTAGTGTACATTTTACTTAATTCTCTTCAAACATTTTAACAGTGAAAATTGCATTATCTAGGAGTTAACATAGAAAGTTAGAGAAAGCAGCATTTTGATGCTTCTGTTATATTGTTTACAGACCAGAGAGATTAACTGCTGTCAGCACCCTTTGAATGATGCTTGAATGTATAAAATGCCAAGTTAAAGTTGTTTCTGATGGCTTTAACTAACCCAAATATACCTTATGGAAGAATAAAATCTTTCCCAATGCTTCACACAGGTAGGAGGCAGAAAGCTTCAGAAGTCCTTGGAGAAAAAAGACAGGTATTTTGAAAATAGTTTTAATTAGAATTATATGAAGTTAGAATTGATTCTAAACATAGGTAATTGAAAAGTTTTTGCTAAGTTTATTAATCTTAGAAAAAGAGTTATAGAAATATAAATCTCAAGTTGTCTCAGGGATGATTCAGACATAGTTTTATTTTCCTTCAGGTCAAAGCTCTACTTTTTAAAGATTTGAAAACTGAAAGATACAAAAAAACAGAAAGTGTTAGGCATTCTTAGAAAAGAAGGGATTAATACATTATAAAACTCCCTTTTTCTAGTACCTTTCTTCTACTTTTTTTCCTTGGATCTTTCTTTCTTTGCCAACTTGTCTGGCCTTGTTCTTCTTTGTCCAGTGGCAACTTGAGATTTACATTTCTGTGGAAGGTCTTTCTAAACCTACTTACTCTACAAAGGTCTTTTGATTGGCTATTAGAAATCTATGTATTTCATGGCATTCTGGTATTAAACATAATTCATAATATTGAAAATGTATTCCCTCATTCATTTCTATAATTTTTGTGAAATAAAATATAGTATACTATAAATACTAGAACTTTGTTGGCTGGCCACTTAAAACTATCATATGATATGGTTTAGACTCTCTGAACATACGTAAATTTGTGATTTGGTTTTTGAGAAATAATAATTCAGTTGTTTACTTTGCTCTTCCTTAGGTATGTTAGAGCGGAAGTTCTGGCTGGCTTTGTCAATGGCCTATTTTTGATCTTCACTGCTTTTTTTATTTTCTCAGAAGGAGTTGAGGTATAGTAGATAATGATTAGAGTCAGTAAATTCTTTTCCATAATGAAAATCTTTGTTAAAGATACATAATAGAGCTGTTTTTACATATTAAGTTTTTATTGCGAGCAGGAGCCTTGAGTTACATAAAATAGTATGTGTGTATATGAATAGATTATAAAATAATTGAAAAAAATTAAATACATGTGAACCTACTTGAGATTAAAAACTAGTAAATGATAGTGCTTTGCAAACCATGAGTAATTAATGAATTTAAAATGATAAGCAGTATTCCAAGATACCAAAAAAGTACAGGTCTTGAACCAAATAGTTAAGCTTTTAAATATTTATATTTAAATATTTATAATCCTTACCTTTTGTGGAATATATGACTACTGGTTTTCTTTCTGTAAAGTATGTTGGCAGATTTTTTGGAAGTACTTTTAATTCTGAAAGTAACTGAAGTTTTTAAAAATTGCTTTATGTTTTTATCACTTGATCGGTTAGAACATATATCAATGCTATTTGTATTGTATTGTGTGTTTTCTAGAGAGCATTAGCCCCTCCAGATGTACACCATGAGAGACTGCTACTTGTTTCAATTCTTGGGTTTGTGGTAAACCTAATAGGAATATTTGTTTTCAAGCATGGCGGTCATGGACATTCTCATGGCTCTGGTATGATGGTTAGAACCCTTTGTTTCTTCATTTTCTACAAGATTTCTGTTCTAATCATTTACTTTTGAAAATTGATAAATTTTAAAAGTTAAACTATATTGATTTTTAATAACAAAAGTACTGTATTATACACACTCTTATGAATGCCTTCCTAGATTCTCTCTCCCACTTCTTCATGCCATTCCATCTCATTTCCTCCTCACATTATCATGTTATCTTTTTTGCATAATTTGACAACCTAATAGCGTTGCCAGTTTGGTGTGAATTCTTATAGACCTCTGTAGCTTGTCTGTTTAGTATGATACCATTTATATAAAAGATATACCAGAAAACCACAAAACAAATCTATTAAAATTTTTTATGGTGTGTCTACATACTTCTGAAATTTACTATACAGTTTGTCTGAGATCCTTCCATTTGGTATGTATTGGTCTACCTTGTCTTTTAAACAGCTACATAAAAGTCTGTGGTATGGGTTACTATAGTTTATTATCTAGTCTCTGTGGCTAGACTTGCCGTTTTTCACTATTCCATATGAAGTGTATCCTTGTGAACACAGTACAGTGTTTGTCCTGTATGGTTTTAGAGTATTAACTCCTACATTTAGTCTGTGAGCCATTTTGAGTTAATTTTTGTATATGGTGTGAGGTAAGGGTCCCAAACCATTCTTTTATGTGTGGATTTTTAGTTGTTCCAACATCATTTGTTGAAAAGATTGTTTTCCCCCATTGAGTTGTCTTGGCATCCTTGTAAAAAATTAGTTGACCATAATGTGAGGGTTGGAAAGTGTAAATTATTTAACTTTCTTCTTTTTCAAGATTGTTTTGGCTACTTGGGGTCCCTTGTACTTCTGTATGAATTTTAAGATCACCTTGCCAGTTTCTCCAAAGTAGTCACTTGGGATTTTAATAGGGATTGCATTGAATCTGCAGATCAGTTTGAGGAGCATTTTAACAGTGTTAAATCTTCTATTAATGAACATGAGATGTCTTTCCATTTATTTGTATCTTTAATTTCTTTCAGCAATATTTTATAATTGTTTCTTTTGTTTATCCCCTGGCATTTTGTTCTTTTTGCTTTTATTAAAAGTGGGATTATTTTTTTAATTCGTTTTTGGATTGTTCATTGTTATGGTATAGAAATACAATTGATCTCTGTATATTAATCTTGTATCCTGCCATGTTGCTGGACTCATTTATTAGTTCTAAAACATTTTTTTTCTGGCTTCTTTAGCATTTTGCTATGTATAAGATCATATCATTGGCATATAGAGGTAGTTTTGTATCTTCCTTTCCCGTGCCTTCCTTCTTTCCTTTCTTCACTCCCTCCTTCCCTCCCTCCTCCTTTCTTTCTTTCTTTCTTTCTTCTCTCTCTCTTTCTTTCTCTCCCTCCCTCCCTCCCTCTGCCTAAATCCAAATGTTATGTATAAGTGGTGAAATAGGCATCTTTGTCTTTTTTCCTGATCTTAGGAAGAAAGTATGTAGTCTCTGTTAAGTATAATGTTAGCTCAGGGTTTTCATGAATGCTAGTTGCCAAGGTAAGGATGTTCCCTTCTCTTCTAAATTTGTTGAGTATTTTTTATCATGATAGGGATGTTTGGTTTTGTCAATTACTTTTTTCTGGATCTGTTGAAATGGTTATGTGGTTTTCATACTTTATTCAATTACTATGGTATATTACATTGATTGAGTTTCAGGTAAACCACCTCTGCATTCTTGGGATAAATCCCTCTGATCATAGTGTATATAATCCTTTTTATATACTACTGCATTAAATTTACTAGTATTTTCTTGAAATTTTGTGTCTATATTCATAAGGAATATTTGTCTGTAGTTTTATTGTGATGTCTTTTTCTGGTTTTGTTACTAGGCCATACTGGTCTTATAAAATGAATTGGGAAATGTTCCCTTATCTTTTGTTTTTTTGGAGGAGTTTGTGAAATTCTGGTATTAATTCTTCTTTAAATGATAAAATTTACTATTGAAGCCATCTGGGCCTGGATTTTCATTGTTGAAAATTTTGAAAACAGTATTGTTGCTTGTGAGAGGTCTATTCAGGTTTTCTATTTCTTCTTGAGTAAGTTTTGGCAGTTTGGGTATTTCTAACAATTTATCCATTTCATGTAAGTTATCTAATTTGTTGGTATACATTTGTTTTTATTATTTCTTATATTTGTTTTTATTTCCTTGAGATTAGTAGTAATGTCCGTTCTTTCATTCCTGATTTTCATAATTTGGGTCTCTTTCATTTTTCTCTTTGTCATTGTAGTTAAAGGTTTGTCAGTTTTGTTGATCTTTTCAAAGAACCAAGTTTTGGTTTCATTAACTTTTTCCATTCTCTATTTTACTTTATTTCTGCTGTAATATATGGTATTTCCTTCTACTTGGTTTGGGTTTAGTTTGTTGTTTTTTAGCATGTTATATTTTTGTTTTTATTCATCTCAAAATATTTTCAAATTTCCCTGTGATTTCTTCTAGGACTCATTGGTTATTTAGGAGTGTGTTGCTTTATTTTCCCATGTTTCTGAATTTCTGTAATTTTTTCCTGTTGTTAATTTCTAATTTAATTCCTTTGTGTCAGATGACATCTTTATGCCTTTAGTATTTTTCAGTTTGTTGAAGCTTGTTTTATTGCCTAGCATTTGGTCTGTATTGGAAAATGGTCCATATGCACTTGAGAAGAATACATATTCTGCTGTTGGGGTGGAGTCTTTTAACAGATGCATGTTAGGTCTAGTTGGTGTACAATATTGTTCAACTCTTCTGTTGTTTTGATGATCTACTGCCTAATGGTATTGAAAGTGGGATATTGAAGTCTCTGGCTGTTATTGTTGAATTGCCTATATTTCCATTGATTTCTCTGTTTTTACTTCATGTACTTTGGAGCTCTGTTGTTCATTACATATAGGTTTGTAATTGTTATATCTTCTTGACAGATTGATCCTGTTATCAAGATAAGATATTCTTTCTTGTCTCTTGTAATAATTTTTGTCCTGAAGTCTGTTTTGTTTAATATTAGAATAGCCAGTCTAGCTTGCATGGTATATTTTTTCCATCCTTTCTCTGTCAGTTTCTTTAAACTCTCTTTAAATGTAGAGTTTCTTTTGTAGTCAGCATACAGGTGGATCATATTCTTGCCCATCCCCCATTTGACAGTCTCTGCTTTTTGATCAGAGTGTTTAAACCATTTACATTTAATGTAATTACTACTAAGGTAGGACTTATATCTGCCAGTTTAATATTTATTTTCTGTATCTTCTGTCCATTTTGTTTATTTCTTACTCAGTTTTTGCCTTTTATGTTGAATCATTTCTAGTTTTAATTCATTTGTTTCTTTGGATATATATTTTTAAGTTATTAATGGTTATCCTGGGGATTATGAGTAGCATGTTAAACTTAAAACAATATAGTACAGATTAATAGTATCTTAAACTTATTAATATATGAAAAGTTTTCAGTAGTATATCTCTAATCCCTCACCTTCCTTTATACTATAACTGTAAAACAAATTATATTTTTATACATTAGAAGTCTATCAACAGTTTTACAACTATTGTATGCAACTGTCTTTTAAAACAGGAGAAGAAGTGAGTTACAAATACAAAGATGTTGTATTCTTTATACTACAACAACAACAACATCTATGTAGTTAGGAGCTCTGGTAGCATAGTGCCTAAGGCACTTGACTGCTAACCAGAAGGCTGGCGGTTCAACCCACCAGCCGCTCCTCGGAAGGAAAGTTGGGCAGTCTACTTCCATAGTGATACTGCCTTGGAAACCCAAGGGGGGTTCGCTGTGAATTGGGTCTGACTCGATGGCACATGAAAACAACATCTATGTAGTTACCTTTATTTTTTGTGTGAATTGATCTGAATTATTATCTAGGGTTTTTTTTTTTTTTTTTTTTTTCCTTCAACCTGAAGGACTCTCTCTCTTTAATATTCTTTGCAGGGTAGGTTTTTGTTTATCTGGAAATACCTTAATTTCTCCTTTATTTTTTATGGGAGAGTTTAGCTGGATATAGAATTCTTGGTTGATAGTCTTTTTCTTTCAATACTTTGAACAAAAGATGTCCCACAATCTTTTGACCGCCATGGTTTCTTTTGAGAAGTCAGCTGTTGATGTTATTTAGGTACATTTGTATGTGACAATTTGTTTGTGTTTGACTTTCATAAGTTTGATTATCATGTTTCTTGAGTTTATTCAACTTGGAGTTTATTGAGCTTCTTGAATGTTGTTGTTGTTGTTATGTGCTGTCGAGTCAGACCCGACTCACAGTGACCCCTCCTTGGGTTGCTGAGGCAGTATCACCATGGAAGTCTTCATGTAATGTATGTCTTCTCCTCCATTTGGAAGATAGACACCACATTATATTGTGTGTCTTTCCTGGACTGATTCATTTCATATTCCATGCAATATGTGCCTATTGAGTTCTCTGGTAGCCATTTTTTTCTTTTTTTCCTAAAGATCTTGTTTTTATTTTTAACTTGACTTGTTAGGGTCTATGTAATTTAGCGGCCAGCCAGTGATTAGTCAAAAACATCAGAACATTGCCTAAAATGCCTTGCCTGTATGTCTTCTACTCTTTGCCAAAGGGATATGTTTGGCAAAGCGTGCCTTCAAACTTCAGACACTTTACAAGATGGCCTTACCTTTCACTTCTTGCTTGGACAGGGCCTCACAGCCATCAAGAGATGAGTGACTGCTGGCTTCCTTTCCTACATACTCCCTGCATGTATGCGGCTTAGGAATATGTTAAAGGTTTTCAGAGTTTCATCTAGTTCTCTGGGATTTCCTTTTAAATTCCGGTTCAGACTCTTGTTCTTCCTACCTGAAATCACAGCTTAGATATGGACACAAATTTGCTATTGTTTTGGTAACACCCTCTACCCTTTCCCCTCAGCTGAACTGAATTCTAATAGCTGCCGTTCTCTGAGAATAGGGATTTTCCCAGGGAACTACAAGTTCAGGCAAAGTATCTCTGAAAGAGATCAGATCTCTTTGTTGGCTGCAGTGCTACTGACTTTTGACTACCTTGTCACTGAACTGGGAGGGAGGGAGTTAGAATGTCCCAGTTGCCACTGTCTTACCAAGGCTCAGTAGATTCTCTTTGGCAAATCGTTTTAATTCTGTGCCTTTATCTAATTACTTGTGTTATGAAATGGTTGATTTTTAGTTGTTTTTAGAGAGAAACTAGTTCACCAAGGTCCATTCCAGAAGTTGGTCTCCCATATTTATGGTTTGCTATTTATTTAATAGCAACAACAATCAACGTTTATTTAACATAGGAGCTCCGATGGCATAGTGCCTAAGGCGTTTGACTGCTAACCAGAAGGCTGGTGGTTCAAACCCACCAGCCACTCCTCGGGAGGAAGGTTGGGCAATCTACTTCCATAGAGATACGTATGCCTTGGAAACCCAAGGAGGGGTCACTATGAATCGAATTGACTTGATGGCAATGAGTTTGATTTTTTTGTTTTTATTTATTTAATATAGTGCTGGGTTTTATTTATTGGTATTTGGAATTTATGTGAAATTTTTTCGTAATGTTATTTTTGATTTGGGTAGGATCCTGTCTTTTTCTATGCTTTACAATAGCTTCTATACAGTAGACTCTTTTTTTTTTTCCCCTGATGGTTTAGTAGTTTTTAGGGAGCCCTGGTGGCACAGTGGTTAAACCCTCAGCGGCTAACCTAAAGGTTGGCAATTCAAACCTACCAGCTCTTTCATGGGAAAAAGATGGGGCAGTCTGCTTCCATAAAGATTATAGCCTTGGAAACCCTAGGGGCTGTTCTACTCTGTCCTGCTGGGTTGGAATTAACTGGAACTGACTAGATAGCAATGGATTTAATTTTGTTTATGGAGAGAATATTTATCATTATTTTGTTTTTGGCTTTTTCTAAGGATTCTGCTTGCTTTAATATAAGTTTACTGATCCCTGCCTTTACTAAATACAACACTTTCCTTGCCTTTGTCTCAGTGTGACCATATGCATACATCTTGTTTCATCTTTGTCAGTGCATGTAATAATACTTTGCAAATTTTTTTGTCATGATTTTCATCTGTATTGTTTATTACTTTATCCCTAATGTCTAGAATAGCATCTAGAACATAGTATTTTTTAAGTAAGTATTTTCAAATGAATGACTAACATTATGTAATAAGTTTGAATATATCTCATCTTATCATCATCTCCAGCAAGGCCCATCACTTCCTTCCATGCTTTCATTTCCTTCCTGTACTCCACAGTAGGGACTCCATCAACATTGTTTAATGAATGAATAACATTTTTTACAAGTAAACGTTGATTGAATTTAATACGGTTTTAGAACCGAATTTTGCACTGATGTCAGTATTATTGTAACCATTTATGTAGTTATATTTTTACATGTCTTCTGTTCTGATACTCTTTGGTTTCTAGGTCATGGGCATAGTCACGCAGTCTTTAATGGTCCTCTGGATCAGGCACATGGCCATGGAGATCATTGCCATAGTCATGAATTGAAACATGGTGCTGCACATAGCCATGATCTTGTGCATGGATATGGACACTTTCATTCTCATGGTGAGTACAGCTTAGAGATTTTCAAAATGGACAGCCTTTTGAGTTATCATAAATTATATAGATTGATTTTCCTACTTGAAATAGTCTTTAAAAGATAATGCAAGCAACTTCCTTTCTAATGAATAAGTATAATTGGTTCCCACTTTATCTTTAAAATATCATGAAATTCACTTGGTATAAGGCAGTAATTATAGCCTTTTTTCAGTGGGTATATCATAATAAAATGCTACTGTTTTAGATGAGTGTAGTGAATGAGGATCATTTAGCAAATGAAAATCACATTTTAAAAAATATAAATAGGCATTTTGTATTATATAGACTTATAAAAATTCAATGGAGTTTTTAGACTTTTACATTTTTATTGTACTTTTTGATGGTTATCATTTGATGTTTACCTCCATATTCCTTACAAATCTGAATATACTTATATTTATAGCATTGAGTACTAAGTTACAAAGGATTTCTCAATTCAAATGATCAGTGTCCTCAAATAATTAATATTTAATTATATTTTAAATAGTTTATTCATGAAATTGGAGAGAATAGATTAATAGGCAGAAGGTGATTAAGTGATACAATTGGATGAATCTTTAAATTGTTTGCTGCCTTCAAGTCGGCCCCCTACTCATGACAAAAACCCTTTCATGGGGGGGGATCAGCCCACTTATGATTTCATAGGGTTTTTGTTGGTGGATTTTTTACAAGTAGAAAACCAGCATTTCTTTCTAGTCTTAGTCAGTTATAAATGAGTAACTAAGGTACATAAAAGATAAAATTTAGCCGAATTTTACCAAGTCAATTCTAACTCACAGTGTTCCTATAGGACACAATAGAACTGCCCCATAGAGTTTCCAAAACTAAATCTTTATAGAAGCAGACTGCCTTATCTTTCTCCCACAGAGTGGCTGGTAGGTTTACACAGCTGACATTTTGGTAGGCAGCCAAATGCTTTAACCATTACCATACCAGAGCTCCTATAATTTAGTGTAGTAACTTGTAAAAAGAAAATCTAGGGATTCGAACACAGGAAATTTGACCGAAACCTATGCTTTTGACCTGTTATTCTGCCTTCACTATAAACTAGTCAGGGACACAAAGGGAATGTGGTCATGATTTTATTTTGCTTGTAGAGACATTTTACTCTTGCTGGGAAATCATGCTTCATACTTATTGAATGCCATAGTGTGAGTAAAATACATATATGTGTGTGTGTGTGTGTGTGTGTGTGTGTATATATATATATATATATATATATGTATGTATGTACATGTATATATGTTTTAAAGTAGGGGAGCATGAATCTCAGACTTAAGCAGTAAAGGTCTATTTCTTGCTCTTCGGTAGATGAGATAGATTGAAGGCTTGTTCCTCATGACAATTCAGGGACCAGGTTCTTTTTGCCTGTGAGCTTCTTGGTCTTTAAGCCCTTGTGATCCTCCACTGGCTTCTCTGCTTTGAGTTGGGAGAGAGAGTACATAGAAGATCATATAGGGCATTCTTATGGTCCTGGAAGGGGTTAACGTCTCACCTTTATTTGTCCATAACTCAGTCATATAGCTTAGTTACTGCCATTGAGTCGCTTCTGACTCATAGTGATCCCTCCTCGGGTTTCCGAGGCAGTATCTCTACTCAAGGAGCCACGTGTTTTAGCTGTGTGTTGTTGTTTGCCGTCGAGTCGGACCCGACTCATAGCGACCCCTCCTTGGGTTTCCGAGGCAGTATCACTACGGAAGTAGATTGCCCCATCTTCCTTCCGAGGAGTGGCTGCTGGATTTGAACCGCCAGCCTTCTGGTTAGCAGTTAAGTGCCGTAGCCACTATGCTACCTACCTAAGAGGAAATAAAAATGGGTTTGGTAGGCAAGTAGCTAGTCTCCGCCACACATGTCAAATTATGTATCCAAGAGGATTTTCAGATTACATAGGTGTAATTTATGTCATCTTATATAACTATTTTATTAGTTACAGTACCTTTCAAAATAATTATATGAAAAAATGACTGCCCTTCAGGCATATGAGCTGAACATTTACATTAGATAGGTACATTCCTTGGAGAGATCAATCACGGGAGATTAAAAGGGCAGCATATGTACAGAGAGACAGCTTGGGTCCAGGAGTACATGGGAGGGAAGGACATAGGGAAGAAATGGCAGGGGAGCTGTTGCATTGTGGTAAATTGTAGTCAATGTCATGAGACAAAGTGTATGTGAGCTGCTGTATGGAAAGTGAATTTGCTCTGTAAACTTTCACCCAAATCACGATAAAAATAAAATAAAAAAAAGACTGTCCTTATCCTAACTTATTACTTGTAAACAGAAATCTCTTTTAAAGCCTGCCTCTCTAGTGCCATGATCAGGAACTAGATTTTTAGAACGGTTACTTTTGACAGTAAGCAGGATTTTCAGGGTAGCTTTCTCTTCCTCTACATAACAATGCCATATGCAGACAGAAATCTTTGTGCAGCCTTATGCTTTTATACATACTTGTGTAGCATTGTTATCATGTTCTGTGAACCTCTAGTGAAAAGAATTTGTCAGCCCCATGGTGCCTTGGGCCCCAAGAACTGTGACTCCCAGGCTGTCATGATCATCAAGCTTGTGAGTCCTCCTGATGATCCCTTTTAAACAAATGTTGCTAATCTTTCACCTTGCTTACATGTTTTCTGCTGATTAATAGTCTTCAAGGTATTTAAGTATGTTGTTGTTGTTGTTATGTGCCGTTGAGTCAGACCCGACTCATAGCGAACCCTCCTTGGGTTTCTGAGGCAGTATCACTACGGAAGTAGATTGCCCCATTTTCCTTCCAAGGAGTGGCTGGTGGGCTTGAACCACCAGCCTTCTGATAAGCAGTCAAGTGCCTTAGGCACTACGCTATCAGAGCTCCCATTTAAGTATAGTCATTAGAAAGGCAAAGTGAAAAAAGTATTTTTATCTCTTCTGTGTGAAAAGCTTGCCACATCCATCTAGAAGCTATGGGAAAGCTACTGTTAGCCAGAATCAAGTTATTCTGGATTGTGCTCTGGCTTCATTTCTTGGACTTCTTTCAACTTCAAGCTGTACATTTGGTGTTCTCTGAGTTTGCCATTATAAAATAAGCGTGTAGTTTTTGTTGTGTGTAAGTCAGTTTCCATTCATAGCACCACCCCCTGTGACAGAGTACCCCATAGGGTTTTCTTAGCAGTAATCTTTATGGAAGTGGATCACCAGATCTTTCTCCTGTGGAGCTGCTGGGTGGGTTTGAACTGCTAGTCATTCACTTAGCAGCCAAATGCTTAACCATTGTGCCACCAGGACTCTTTAAAACCAGGGACTTTCTTTCACTTTGTTTTTAATTACTGTGCTTTATGTAATAAGGAAAGGAGCTCTGGTGGTATAAGGATAAGACATTTGGCTCTAACTAGAAGGTCAGTGGTTCAAACCCACAAGCTACTCTGAGGGAGGAAGATGGGGCAGTATACTTCGGTAAAGATTTACAGCCTTGGAACCCCGATGGAGGTTGTTATGGGTCAGAATTGACTTGATGGCAGTGAGTTTGGTTTTGGGTTTTTAATATAATGATTTCTTAAATACTCATTACCCTTGGTGCATTTTGAAATTGCCTGTGTTTGTTTCCACTATAGTACTCTTTTAAATATTTTAAAATAATTTTGTAGGTATGATGTGGCTATATAGTCATATATTATTTATGTTACATTTGAATGAGAAATACTCTGAATTGCAAAGATATGAATCAGGAATTGAAGACATGTTCTAAAATAATTTAACTTATCTCTCTGCAGATGGTCCCTCCTTAAAAGAAACATCAGGACCCAGCAGACAGATTTTACAAGGTATGACAAGTAATTTGTATTTTATTTTTAGTTTTATGAAATTGGTTTCATAATTTTGAGTTGTCTGAAGTTTTACTTTAAGAAAAATACATAGCATAGTATTTATGTTTAAAATGTTAACCTTCATGTGTGGCTAATTGCCTCCATAGACAACTGTCTTCTTTGCTTTGAGACTAGAATAACTGGCTGCTGCTCAGCTACCATTACTGAGCATTTTGGTTAAAGATTGTGTAGAAGAATCTTGATCAAAGAAGGAAAAAATGCAGAACAGAATTTCAAATTCTCCTGGAATCTAGACTTTCTGGAGCCATTGAGGCTAGATGAACCCCCAAAACTATTTCCTTGAGGTGATCATTAAACCTTAAACCAAAAATATCCCCTGAAGTCTTCTTAAAACCAAATGATAGTTTAATTAGGAGAGCATATCTATCTTGAGCACTTTGCTCTTTTAAAGAATTATCCATATGGGATCAGCTTGACAATAGCACTTGAAAGGTTAGATAGGAAGCTTAGTGGACAGTAGTTTGTGATAATATGGGAGGAATAATTTAGAAAAGGAGGGTGACAATGGTTGCATAACTTGAAGAATGTAATCAGTCACTGAATTGTATATGTAGAAATTGTTGAATTAGTATATGTTCTGCTGTATATGTTTTCAACAACAAAATAAATCATTAAATAAAATGTTAACCTCCGTGAAACTAAACGAAACTCACTGCTGCCAAGTTGGATCCAACTCATAGCGACACCTCCTTGGGTTTCCAAGGTGGTATCACTATGGAAGTAGATTGCCCAACCTTCCTTCCAAGGATTACCCAACCTTCCTTCCAAAGAGTGTCTGGTGGGTTTGAACTGCCAGCCTTCTGGTTAGCAGTCAAATGCCTTAGGCACTACGCCTGGTTGTTTTATATATAGTAAGTCCATCAGCAAACATTCTTTTGATTGTCCCTTGACTGTTTTCTCAGATTTAATAAAAAGGGGAAAATATTCATAAATTATACTGGTTAAATACAAATTCTATCTGTACCTATGGCTATAGTAATACTATGAATATATTTACCTTTATAGGATTATCCAATAATTTTTCCAAGAATAATACTCGTTATGTATTTGTGTTTGGGAATTTTAAAATGTGATGCTAATTAAGACTTTGGTTATATCTTGTACACATCAACTGATGATATCTAAATAGGTGTTTTCTTGTTACATAAAATGGAGGGGTCTCTATGAGTCGGGGCCGACTCGACGGCAAATAACAACAACAACAACAACAAAATGATATATTATCAAAATTTATAAGCCACAGAAATTCAATATTGTCTGTATACTATAGTAGTGTCCTTTTTGAGGTATGACCCAGTCTTTGGCTCTGAGTTTCCACTTACATTTTACTTTCAAGATTTTCTAATTCCTATCTTCCCCTTCCTGCCTTTATTAACTTTTGACTTCAGTCCAGCTTTCTCAACAGCTTGTGATCCAATCTTGACTTTTTTCCTCCATATTTCTGATATAACTTTTGTATTTTATTACACATTGTGCAATACGTTCCTCCGTAAGTTTATTTTCAAGAGGCTTAAACATACCTTCCAGTCACTAGTATTTGATTTGAAAAACATACATAATTGTTTTAGAACAACATACACTGAAATAACTTGTAGCCATATATAAAACCAAACTCACTGCCTTCGAGTCAGATCTGACTCATAGCGACCCCTCCTTGTGTTTATGAGGTGGTATCGCTGAGGAAGTAAATTGCCCAATCTTCTTTCTGAGGAGCGGCTGGTGGGTTTGAACTACAAGCCTTCTGGTTAGCAGTCAAATGCCTTAGACACTACGCACCTGAGCTCCCACATATAGTTGATGTATGTATATCCAGTGCTATAAATTAGCCTCAATAACAAGAATTTATTTTTATTTTTGGAAATCAGGACAAGTTGGGGTAGGGAGGTTAGATTTGCCTTCCTAATGATCTTTTATATAGCCTTTCTTTTTAGGAGACCCTGGGTGGCACATAAAAGCTTGACTGCTAGCCAAAACATTGATGATTTGAACCCATCCAGTGGTTCCTTGAAAGACAGGCCACACCAGTCTACTTCTGCAAGGTCACAGCCTTGAAAACCCTATGGAGTACAGTTCTACTCTGCACACGTGGGGTAGCATGAATTGGAATTGACTTGATGGCAACTGGCAATAACATCTTTATATAAGCTATTGTGAAAATTGGCTTATTGTTTTCTGAGTATCCATCAGTTTACGGTGTCTGAAGCAAACTAGTAGATAGCTGAAGGAGAGCAATAACTGCCTGGTGTTAAAACTTTTCTGCAGAATGATCAGGAGTTCTGGTGGCGTAGTGCCTACGGCATTTGAATGCTAACCAGAAGGCTGGCAGTTTAAACCCATCAGCCACTCCTTGGAAGGAAGACTTGGGCAATCTACTTCCGTAGAGATAAAGCCTCAGAAATCCAAGGAGGGGTTGCTTTGAGTCAAAATCGACTTGATGGCAGTGAGTTTGGCTTTTTTTTGTTTGCAAAATGACCAAGTATAAATACACAGACATGAATAATGACAGGTTAACTGAATTTTTCCATTATTTGCTGTACCTTCAGTGTGACCAGCTGCATGCTTTCTGGGGCAGAATAATCAATATCCTACTGTCTTCCAAGGCTTTCAGTGTTTATATAATTTAAACATACTAGATTACATTTCTTTCTATAGTGATTTTTCTTCTTAAAGAGTTAGTAAGATTTAAGAAGGGCTTAGTTTCTGACGCTTGCTATTAAAACCAATTTTTAGGTCAGCAAATGAGATATATAACCAAGGACATTCCAGTGTGAGGAAAATCAAGAAGAAATGAATTTTTTCTTTTTCCTTTCAGTCTGTAGGTTTTTTTTTTTTAATTGTTGTTGTTAATTTCTGATTCTCCGAGAAACAATAATTGAAGAATATAGTTATAAAAGTATATGTATTTTAGGAGTTTGTATCTTAGGGACCCTCAGTCCACTTAAACCAAACCAAACCAAACACACTGCTATTGACTTGATTCCAACTCATAGTGACCTGTATTGGTTTTCCAGGGCTGTAAATCTTTATGGAAGTAGATTTCCTCATCTTTCTCCCATGAAGCAACTGGTGGGTTTGAGTCACTGACCAAATTCCTTACCTACTATGCCATCAGAGCTCCTTTCAAGCCCACTTAATGTTTATATTTTTGTTTTATTTTTAAAACTTAAAGTGGTTCCAACCCTTACTCCTGTTGTTAGTTGGCAGTGAGCCGATTCTGACTCATGGTGACCCCATGTGGACAGAGTAGAGTTTTCAAGGCTGTGAACTTTCGGAAGCAGATTTCTAGGCCTTATTTCAGAGGTGCTTCTGGGTAGGTTTGAACTGCCAGACTTTTGGTTAGTAGTCAAGTGCTTAACCTTTTGTGCCACTCTAGTACATACACAACAGTATATGTGCAAGTCGTGTCGAGGTTGTGAGTTTGGGCGTCACATGGAGCATGTTTTCTTCCTTTCCTTTTTCCAACACTATTTTAGTAAAATCGATTTAATTCTTTGCTGTTAGAAATACTATAGAGAAACTTAATTATTATTTTTTTTTTTTTTCTGTAAGTAAGCTTCTGACATGGCATTTTTGTTAGAGAAAAATTTTAGTTAACAGATCCATTAGCCTTTTGAAGAATTGTTATAAAGGTCAGAACTATACAAATGAAAAAGTGTATCTAAGTACTAATGGATTTTTGGTATAGTACTTGAAATAAAATTACATAGTAGCAAAGCAGATGAAGAGTATTTTGCTAGAGCATGATGATATTCGATTGGACTTTATTAGTAGTTTTTAAGTTGATTTTGAAATTAAAATTGACTTGACTTTGTTAGTTTCAAGTTTTAAAATGTTTTCAAGTTTGAGTAAATCTGCTTACCTTTAATTGTCCAGTGAATAATTTAAAAAATACTATTTCTGAAGTAGATACATACTTTTTATACTCCAGCTATTTATTTATAGGTGTCATAGTTGATTTTTTGAAGAATGTTCTATTTTTAGTAAGGCGTTGTTGAAGTCTGTTTAAGAGAAAATGTTTGTTATATAGTATTTTTTACCTATTAAACATCTAAATATTGAAGAATTTATATTCCCTTAGTTGCATATTTCCAGAAATATGTAATTTAATTTTTGACGTTTTTAGTGATTTTTCAAGCAAGTGTTATTTACTAAATGTTAATATATCTAGGTTCTTGAGCAATTAATATGTTAATGCCCTGGCCATTTAATATTTAATTAAATATTAAAGTTCAGAATGTGTTTTACATCCATTTTAAAGCAGTCTTATCCCTCCTCTCTTTCACATTGAGTTTGAGCTTAGTATGTAACAAAACATTTAGGATAATTAATAAATATATCAGGAGCTCTGATGGTGTAGTGCTTAAGGCATTTGACTGCTAACCAGAAGGCTGGTAGTTTAAACCCACCAGCTGCTCCTCGGAAGAAAGAGTAGGCAGTCTACTTCCGTAGAGATGCTGCCTCAGAAACCCAAGGGAGTGCTTACTATGAGTGGCATCAATTCTGTGACTTTATGGCAGTGATTTTGGTTTTGGTCCATAGGAAATTCATCTCAAGTGGCAATTATTTTAATCACCAGCAGAGGGCACTGTGTGTACATACATTTGTAGTTTTCAACTAATGTTTTCTTGACAATTCCTTTAGCCTGATGAAGTTTTCTTCCTATGACAAATAATTAACTCTTGAGCTCTTCTAACCAGATATGAGTATGCACAAGCAATTTTTAAAATCAATTCATTTCTCTACTTCTTCACATACATTATATCAAAATATTAAAGCTCATTAAAAGCAAATATAATTTATAAATCAGATTTTAACACTTGCTGATTTGGAAAAAAGAAAGATTATTTCAGCTGGGCAAGGGACTCACTCCTGTGTAGATGCTGTACACTGAATCCACATTCTTAACTGACTTTTCAAGTTGGTATTTAGTTTTTTTTTAATATATAAAATTAAGGCTGTAGTTTTAGGAAATATTTTTATTTTAAATTCATTGGAAAACATTATTTTGATTCTGATTATTCTTTATTTCTAGGTGTTTTTCTACACATTCTAGCAGATACACTTGGGAGTATTGGTGTAATTGCATCTGCCATCCTGATGCAAAATTTTGGTCTGATGATAGCAGATCCCATCTGTTCAATTCTTATAGCCATGCTTATAGTTATAAGGTAAGTGTTAGGATGTTACTTTTAATAATTAACACAAGAGATAGGTGATAAATATGCTACTTAAAATTACAGATCTAAAATACAAATTATGTTGGTTTTCTTTTGATCTTCAGCAAATTTCTTTGTAGATTATTTCTTTTTTCATCTTTCTGTTTTTTTCTTCCTTGGTTACCATTTATTTCTTGGACACAGATTGATGTGTTTTTTTTTGGTGTTTAACAATTGAACTTTTTGGTTTGTGATTCAAATCAGTAGTAGTCTTTTGAATCCAACACTACTATCTGTAGAGTAAAAAATTGAAAATATGAAATATATTACCTATAGTTAGAATCTTATTCCTGTGATATCTATATCTTGCACTAGGAAATGCAAAAGAATATTTACCATATCCTGCTAGAACTATTTTTACTTTGTGAAGTAACATTATCATTGCAGAAGTCTTATAAAAATGCTCCCCAAACTATATTTCTGTCTGTCTCCTCTCACTTAGGTTATAAAATTCTTGAGGAAGGATCTTTCTCTTAGCTCTTTATCTCTTTAATGACTGCCATAGTGCCAATGTGTATGTAAAAGTATAGGTATATGTGTTTGTGTGTGTATGTACATGCGTGTGTCTCATTTTTCAGTAAATGCTTGCTGGATTAGATTGTGTATTTTCTTAAGTTTATCTCACTCTGATACATTTTATTATTGATATGTTTTATCAGAATAAGATAATATATACTTTTATTTAACAGTCTTCAATTATTTAAAAATATGCATTTTTTTTATTGGACTTTTATTACCTTATTTATCCATATAAGAATCACCTGGGGATCTGTTAGGATCTCCTGAGAATCTTGTTAAAGAATAGATTCTGTTTCAGTATATCTGAGGTAGAAATGCAGATTCTAAGCAGGTCGATCTAGAATGAACTGGGTTGATCACTAAAAATGTCAAAAATTAAATTTTTTCTTTTAATATATCTTTTCTTTGTTTTTGAAAGAATCTACAGATTAGAAATTCTGTTTTGGTTACTGTTAAATTTGAGATCTCTCTTTGGGCATATATGTGGAAATTTCAAGTAGGTAGTGAGCTGTAGTAGTACAGTGCCTAAGGCACTTGACTGCCAACCAGAAGGATCGAGGTTCGCACCCATCAGCCACTCCTCAGAAGGAAGGTTGGGCAATCTACTTCTGTAGAGATACCACCTTGGAAACCTAAGGAGGGATCACTGTGAGTCTAATGAACCTGACAACAGTGAGTTTGGGGATTTTTTTTTTTTTTTTTTTAGGATTTGGGTGAAGATTTACAGAGTAAATTCACTTTTCATACAGCAGTTCACATATACTTTGTCTCATGTCATTGACCAAAATTTACAATGCGGCAGCTCCCCTCCCACTTCCTCCCCATAGTTACCTCCTCCCAGTGTCCATCCCTTCATACTCTTCTGCACCTGAGCTATCTCCCTGTGCATAAGCAGCCCTTCCTTCTCCCATGATTGTTCTCTCCAGGGCGTGTGTCTACTTGAGGTAAATGTTTAACTCACATGCCTGTACTTTGTTTGGCTGGAAACCACAGTTGTGGGTTCAATTCCAGACCTGAAGGGCAGCTAGGGGCCATAGTCTCAGTGGTTCCACCAGGCTCTACTGGACCAGCAAACCTGGTCCCCACCTTCTTTTTTTTTTCCTCCAAATGATTTTGAGTTTTGTTCCACATTGTTCTCCCTCTCTATGCAGGATCTCCTACATCCCTTCCAAGTGGATGGCAGTGGTAGCTGGGCACCATCTAGTTCTTCTGGTCTCATAGTTGTATAGGTTGCAGATTGGATGGTGTACCAGTTGCTAGGACTGATTGTTTCCATTAATTTTGGTTTTCTTCTTTCTTCTTGACGAGGAGAGACCCGTTGTTGCATCTAGATGGCAGCTTCCTAGCTTTTAAGGTCCCAGTCGCTACTCGCCAAAGTAGTAGGTGGAACAATGTTTTGTATAGTATGTTATGCCAATTGAGCTTGATGTCCCCTGTGACTATGGTCCCAAGCCCGCAGGATCAACTACTTGGTCCCTCTGGGTAGCTGGCTGTGACCAAGCAATGACCATAACCTTGCCCCTTGTCAGCTCTACTATACACCTGGGAATTCTGATCATTCACATGAACTTATAGGCCCATTGTCTGCCAACCCTATATATGATCTTGGATACACTCTCCATTTAGACATACCTGTTGTTTAGCTTGTTCACCTATCTATCCGTCCATATACCCATGTTTGCTTTCACTGACAACTCAGTACTGTATATGCAAAAGGGTTCATATTTGTTGTCTGTACTGCCCATGTAACTCTCTATGTCTTTCTCATCCTCAGTGCTGCCATATTGGTCACTCACATTTGGTACATTGCCCTTCTCTTCACCCAAATTAATATTTATCTCTATCTATCTAACAGCATTCCCTCCCCTCCCCTCCCACCCCTGGTAACCAACAAAGAAAATGTCCTCCAATAGACAAACCTTTCCTTAACTTTTACAATAACGGACTAATACAATATTTGTCCTTTTGTGACTGACTTATTTCACTCAGCATAATGTCCTCCAAGTTCATCCACGTTAAGCGGTGTTTTGCAGATTCTACATTATTCTTTAGCGTTGCATAGTATTCCATTGTGTGAATGTACCATAGTTTGGTTATCCATTCCTCAGTTGTTGGACATCTAGGTTGTGAGTTTGGGGATTTTTTTAGTTTAGTGAGTGTGTTATTGTTGTTAGATGCTAAGGAGTTGGTTCCAACTCATAGTGACCCTAAGTATAACAGAATGAAATGTTACCTGGTCCTGTGCCATCCTTAAAATAGTAGGTGTGTTTGAGCCTCTTGTTGCAGCCCTATGTCAGTCCATCTCATTGAGAGTCTCTCTCTTTTTGGTTCACCATCTACTTTAACAGCCATGATGGCTTTCTTCAACAACTTCTGTCCTATCTTCTAGAATCTAAGGAGCATTCTGCCTATATTTTTTCCAAGATAGATTTGTTTGTTCTCTTGGTAGTCCGTGGTATACTCAGTATTCCTTGCCAGTACCATAATTCAAATGTATCAATTCCTCTTCAGTCTTCCTGTATCTTCAGTATACAAATACGGAATTTTTCAGAGAAGTCAGCTGTATATAGAAGATTGGAAATTAGTCTACAAATGGACTACCAAAAGCAAAAAAAAAAAAAAACCAAACTCACTGCTGTCAAGTTGATTTGACTCATAGCGACGCCTCCTTGGGTTTCTGAGGTGATGTCTCTACGGAAGTAGATTGCCCAGTCTTCTTTCCAAGGAATGGCTGGTGGGTTTGAACCACCAAGCTCCTACATGTGAACTAGAGTAGCGTTTTTCTGGCATGAATGCTACCTTTCCCACCCCTTCCCTGGGAGCTCTGGTGGCATGGTGCCTAAGGCCTTTGACCGCTAACCAGAAGTCTGGCAGTTCAAACCCACCAGCTACTCCTCGGAAGGAAGATTGGGCAATCTACTTCCGTAAAGATAACACCTTGGAAACCCAAGAAGGGGTCTCTATGAATCGGAAACAACTCTTCGACAGTGAGTTTTTTCTTTTTTCCTGTTTGTCTGGAAGAAATGCTGTAGTATTCTTTCCTGCTAAACTTAGTTTAGCTTTTGAGCTCCTTTTTATATAGTGCTCAAACAGCCAATATTAATTAGCCAACCAAGATGAAACCTATTTGTCATACTTTTTTAGGTCCTACTTATCTACTTATTAAACTTTTTCTCAGTTGTTACCGTTGTTAACTGCCATCAAGTCTGCTTCTGACTCATACTGATTCCACGCGCACACACACACAAAAACAACTCACCGTCATCGAGTCAGTTCAACTCATACCAACCCATCCTTTGGTTTTCAAGGCAGTATTTCTGTGGAAGTAGATTGCCCAGTCTTCCTTCTGAGGAGTGGCTGGTGGGTTTGAACTGCCAGCCTTCTAGTTAGCTGTCAAATGCCTTAGGTACTACACCACCAGAACTCCCTCCATGCACAAAGAGAGTGGATTATTGTGGTCCATAAGGTTTTCGTTGGCTGATTTCATTTACATAAATGGTGCCTATAATTTGGTTCTTTTTCATTATTATTAAGCTTTATCATTTTAATTATTTGCTTCTGTTGTTTTTTTTTTTTTCTGATAACAAAAGTAATACTTGCTGGTTATAAAATATTCAGACCTTACTGAAATGTATAACTTACCTGTTGAAATGTTCTCATAATCTTACTCCTTGGAGATAAACAGAAAACTTTAATGTATCTTAAAGTCATTCAGCAGCTGTTTGAGTGCCTGCTCTGTGCCAGGAAGTAAATAATGTAGGCAAATACCTACCTTTGTGGAACTTACATTTTAGTGGGGAAGATAGTCAATAAAGCATTTGAATGTATAGACAGGTAATATAATTTCAGGTGGTGATAAATGCTATGAAGCAAGATATGGGGTTGGTAATTCAGAAGGGCTTGGAAAGGTGTCTGGATAAGATGACATTTGAGCAGAGACCTGCTCTATAAAGAATTGAGGCATGACACTGTTCAGAGGAAGAGCATTCCTGGTTGAGAGAATGTCAAGTATAAATACTGTGGTGAGAGTGGGCCTGACATGTTTGATGGACAGCAAGAAGGGCAGTGTAGATGGAGTCCAATGAGCAGGGCAGAGAGTGACAGATACATATATCTAGAGTTCATACATCAAAGGGGCAAGAAGGCCCCATCTTCTGACCTCCTCTAATCCCACAAGAAGAAGACAGAATCACCATCAGTAGACCAAGGCCTATTCTTGGGAGGCCAGATATGCTGCCTCCCTTCAGCCTTTTCACCAACTGTTCCTCTCACAGCACCCACCACCTCTCTGTTGGGTTCAGTAATTCTCTGCAGTGGCCACACAGAACTCACAGATAATAGGGTTTATTAGGGAAGCACCAGACTACAATTCACGTTGAGGAACACACTCAGGCTTTCTCAGCCTGCTGTCTCTCAGCCAACAGTCTCTCTCC